GAAATTTTTTTCCTAGCTATATTATCTTAAATTATATATTCATTTATGGGGATGTGGCTAGCCTACTTGTGGGCTTAAGGCTTTGACAAGGACTGTGAGAAGTTTTGGGGTTGGGCCTTTGCAAAGTTGTTATTGGGTTTTAAGATGGGCCGATTCTTTTCTCTTGTTTTTTTTTTAATCTTAGGGGTTTATAACCTATCCCACCATATACCTCCCTCTGTTTTTAGAAGAAGTGTTAGGATGCATATCATAATTCTTAATTAAAATTGTGCACTGGACTTCACTGAAATCTTTTGATTTCATAAAAACAATTACAAACTCAATAGTTATTTAAATTTTATTTCATTACCCATTGAATAATTAATTTAGGAATTTCATTAATAGAGATTCCTTATCTTTTGCACATTTTATTATTCATGTTCCCATAGTGCATGTGGCCGGCTGTACTTTTTACATTTTTTCCTCGCCAACAAACAATAACATATTAGATTATTCGTCTTGGCTTTGGAATGGACGTTGTGATTGAAATTTACCTTTTACTACCTCCGATCCTAATTATAAGACTAATTATGTACCACCATTGATAAACACTGAAATAAGCAATATCCACTGGGCCAAGAGCACCCCTCAAGTAAAAGCTTCCATTGCCGGTTGACCAAAATGAGGATCCCAAATTGCATGAGCAATAGGTCTTATATGTAAAGGATCCTATACCCATGCCTTAAAATTTCCTTGCCAAGCTACATAAAAGAGATTCTTAGAAGGCCACAAACAAATTATTGCTAATTGTCTGAAATGAGAAGCAGAAATGGATGGGATTAGATACCCAAGTCGTCCTAGCTGTAAATGATGGATACTAGGCACTGTACATATCGACTTATGCAATATTATAGCTAATGCGTTAAGTATCCTGCCTGTGGAGTACATTTGCAAGAATGAAACTCAAAGGAATTGACGGGGATCCGCATAAGCGATAGAGCATGTGGTTTAATTCAATACAAAGTAAAGAACCTTACTAGGGCTTGGCATGCCGTGGATCCTCTTCAAAGAGAGGGATGCCTCTAGGATCACGGGCACAGGTGATGTATGGCTGTCGTCAGCTCGTGCTGTAAGGTGTTAGGTTAAGTCCCACAAATACAGCTCCTTGAAGGCCATAAATAAATCTAAGGGACCGGGCCAGTTATTTATCTTGATATATCCCTCGATAGATAGGATTAAAATCCATTGGATAGTCTTGAATTACACCAATTGAATTCTATCTGTTATAATAATAAATACAAAAAGGAAGTTCTGAATAACTAAATAAAATAGATAGACCTTTCTTTCTCTTCATCTTAGGCCAATGGATCTTCTCAATTGAAAGATCCCCTATATGGATAATACACACTCCAGTTGACCGAGCTTAATTCTAATTGTTTTGTTCCGAAACACAGATATCTACGAGACAGTTTATCCTATTTTGATATTCATGGGGCATATGAAGATCCTTTCGCCATTTGAGGCATTAATTTACCCATTATAGACTATAAATAAGGTCTTATAATTAGGATTGGAGGTAGTATCTACACATATATATTTATTTAGGACCTTTTTAATCATTATTTGAGGTGAGACTTTTTTAATCATTATGAAAATGCTTTTTTGTTAATCATTCCAAAATATTATTATTTTTGGAAAAAATATTATAATTTTACTTAAAAATGCATTTAAAAAAATGAAATGTTGAAATCTGATCTAAACAGTTTACAACTACACATTATTATTATCATAAAGTAGATTGTTTGCTATTAACTATTCAGATCATATTTTAGCAATTCAGATTTATTTATATGTTTTTTAAGTAAAATATGATTTTTTTGTCCAATAATAATAGTGTTTTTAAAAGTATTAAATTTGGACCATTGAGATTTCATCCAACGGCAATGAAAGGAGGTACAGGAGGTGTAGAGGAAGGGAATGATGGTGGAGTGAAGCTGGGCGCAAATTTCTTTTACTTGCTCATTCAAATTTTTGAGTTCAAATTGTCAGGTTCTTGACTGCGGTAATATTTAATAACCACTGCCCCACGCATGCCTGTGGCAAAAGGAACCAACGCATTCAATAATTATCACCGTAGCCAATAAATGTTGGACTATGTCATATGGAGTTGGTTCATAATCATAAAATCACAAGTTCAAATCTCATTGACAATATAAAAATCTTATTAGTTGATGGTCTCTAAATATCTTTATAATCATTCTTTGAGTTAGAAGACATGCTTAACCCAATACAAATAACTAAATTGGGTATTTTAAAAAAAACCAACCCATAACTTTTGCAAATAACTAATTTTGGATCTCTACAAACTAATCATCCATTCCCCATATTTATAATCGAAGGGAGACTATAAACTAGCCAATAAAAGTGAGGAACCCTCACCAGCAAAATATTCGTAGCTTCCTTCAACAACCTCCACTTATTGGCAGCCAATAGTTTAGCATGTCATGGTTTAATGCATGTCTTTGAGTTCGTCGATAATATGATTAATGGAATGAAACGAGACTCCACTAATGAACCTTCAAGCAGTCTTTAATATTATTCGTGATTTTATTTTATTCTGGTTCGAGATGTGAGTAGTTTTAGCCTTCGACATTAACCTAATTAAAAATTAAAATACTCCTCTATCGAGACACACACACCAACATGCAAAATGGAATTTGGTTTACCTTCTTAAAACAATTCTACTGTGACATGAAATTTCTGACAATCACAGCCTCAAACTCAAAACAACTGTCCTAGAATCCACCGATTATGAGTTTACTTTATTCATGCGCTGCTCTAGTGCGCTCACCTATACATATTAAGATTGGAAGGATTTATACAGATACATATATATATATATATATCTATATCAAAGTAATCAAATAATTAATTTACCAAAATATATTCAAAACATTGTTTAATACAATAACTACTTATCTTTAATATTTTCCTATGTTATTAACAATATTTACTAAATGTGAAATGACCAATATGCCTTAGTGTCTTCTTGGGAAAAATGACTAGATTTGATATGACAATAACAAGATTGCAACATAAATTAATAAGTTTGTAATACAGAATAAAAAATAATACTATCATTTTCTAAGCGTCACACACAAGGGCCTATTGGTCATTTCTGTCCATTTTCATAATTCCAATTCAAATTTTCCTTTGTTGCCCGTCATTACCCTTTTGAAATTTTCTATTTTTAAGGTTCTTTTTTAGTAATTTTCCAATGGTTGTGAAATATTCCCACTAATGAAAGCTATGATATGAAGCCAATAAGCTTGAGGTTTCATCTACGGCTGCTGGCGGTGCCGCGGTGGTAAAGGACGTGCATGGCTATGAGGAAGAGAACTTGTCTTTTTGTGTTCGCTCACAGTATTGGGGAACATTGGGCTGAATTCATTGGGCGTTTTTTAAAAAGACATATAAGGGGGTTGTTTTGCATATTGATATAAAATTAGATTTTTTTTATTAACAAAAGTGAAGTCTAGCAAAAAAAAAAAAATTCCCTCACAACATAATGGTTTAATATTTAAATTCTTATAGAGAGATTTCTTCATATTTAGTACTTAATAGTATCTCAAAAATCATTGTTTGTAATAGAAAGATATTTGTACTTAGAAAAATTATTGCATTTGGGAGCCTTCTTTTCTTTTGTTTTTTTTTTAAAAAAGGGGGTGTGGGAGAGAGAGAGGAGAGGGGAGAGAGTTAAATTAAATGGCTGAAGAGCTCATATTTGGGAGACACTTTGAACCATCAATGTATTGTCCCGCCTACATCCTAACTTCAATTTTGGAGAATTGCAACGAAGTTTTAAGTAAGAAATATAACTACTAAAAAGTTCCCGTAGCAACAGAGCAACCTATAACTGTAAGTTCAACAATAGTAAATGTTAGCTGCTCACTTGTCATTAAGGTTTATGGTAATTATTTTCTTTTTTAGGACTTTATTATAATTCATCCTTCAATTTTTTGTAACCTTTGAATTGAGTGGTCAATAATTTTATAAAAATTTCCACTCCAACCATTTTGAGACATGTCCATATTTTTCGTATTGCCATGTTAAATGTCTCATTGTTGTATAATGAAGACTAATATCGCGAAAAACAGTTATAATAGATTCCACTGCGTCCATTTATTTTAACTCCCAAACAATGATGTAAATTTTCTCTCCATGAAACTCCAAAACAGATGTAATTGTTCTATTCCATTTATTCTATTTTATCCTAATAAACTACTATACAAATATATAATGTGCATAGGTCTTTTTAACTTATAGATTATATACATATTTTGGGTTTTCTCTAATGTGTAACATCTTCCCATTCTTTAACTCATGCTTAATGATCAGTAGAAAAATAATACTTCTTTTGATATAAATATAAGACCTAGATAACTAATTAATAAATATTAAAAAAATTAGTTAAACTAGATATGTATAAAAAATGTGTGTTAGTTTTCTTAAAATAACTATTTAACCATTGGAAACTAGCCCATTGATGAAATTCTTTCACATGTTCAATCAGATGGTTTGAGAAAAATTTATAAATTTTAGAGACAAAAAGAATTGAGATCTTACATCTAGATTAAGTAATGTTTTATCCAAAAAAAAATTTTGGTTTTTAATTTTTTGAATTTTGTGTCTCATAAAGACTTCTTTTTTTGGCCTCATTTAAAGTTAAAAAAAAAAAAAACCGCACCGTATAGCTGCAATGAGCCCCATGATTGCAAACAATCAGCTTCATTCCTTTGTTAGTTTCAAAAGAACTTTAACTAAAAAAAGATGACATGGCAGGCACCAAAGCCACAGAAGCACCGTGGCCACATGCCCGCATTTTAAGCTCTCAATTTGTTCTTCTCTCAATTTTTAATGTTTTGAATTTTGCGTCTCTATAAATTCCCCCTCTTCTCCTTCAACCATTGTCAGAGTCACATATATACGTACATTATTTCTCAGAGCAGCGGTTGGTGACGGCGGAGGATGGTGGTGGCAACTACTACATGGAGTGACATAATGAACGTGGCGGAAGGAGTGAAGCCGGCGGCGTTAATGGTGACGGTGCAGCTAACATTTGCGGTGGTGAACGTACTGTACAAGCTCTCTGTGTATGACGGCATGAACGTGAGAGTGCTTATAGCTTATCGTTTCATTTTCGCCACTGCTTTCATGGCTCCTCTTGCTTTCCTCTTTGACAGGTCCTCTTTCTATCACTCTCTGTGTCCATCATAATTAACACAAGATTCATTTTAAATATTGATCATATATAATACTCCTTTCGATCATATTGAGAGCTAGTTGAGAGATTATATTTGGTTTTAAATATAAGTCTTATTGTTTCTCATACGTATCATTTTTCTGCAAATTGATTTATGTAATTTATTAAATGATGTACAATCTAATATTACAGATAATTATCAATACATAATACTCTCTCTAGTCCTTAGCACTAAATAATTAATTTACAAGTTCCCAGAAAAAAATTAATTTACAAAGATTAATGAAATTAGTGAGATTAGTTATTTGTGAAAAAAAGTGTGCTGGTTTTTTTATTTTTAAAATATCTTTTTTAGTCATTCGTATTCATATTGAAACAACCCTTTAATGTATATTCACTTCCTATGTACAATCAATAAGGATAAGGATAGTTTGAGAAAATTATAAATTTAGAAGATAAAGTGAATTAAGATTATTCATTTATAACCAAAGTAAACCCCCTAATTGCTAATCCAATAAAAATATTTATTGTGACTATTATGCAATAAAAAAATTATTCAAAGTCATGAATTGTATTTTATTCCTAATTATTAATTGGGTGAAGTTAATTATGTAAATTGTTCTGAACTTATGGGGCCAATGACTAGAATTTTACCAAAAAACATATAAATCTATTAGATGATGAGATAATAAAATGGAGTAATAAAACCTTCTACTTCTGAAATAGCTTTTAATTCTTATTTTTTTCCTAATTATTTGCAGGAAAAAGAAATCAAAGATGACTTGGACAGTACTGTTTCAGGCAGCCCTCTGTGGCTTATTTGGGTATGTGAAAATAAAAAAATTATTTATCATGAAAAAGAATTAAAACTATCGGTGACTGCTAAAACGATTTATTAGTAACTAATTAATTAATTGCAGGGGAACGTTGCAACAAACATTATATTTGGAGACACTGGCATTAACATCAGTAACCTTTTCTTCTGCAATGTCAAATCTTAATACGGTCATGACCTTCCTCTTGGCCCTTTGCTTCAGGTATAAATTTTATCATTTTTATTTTTATTAATAAAATTATATTTTTAGTTCTCTACCTTTATACAAAATTTCAGGTCACTTAATTTTATAAAACATCTCTTAAGTTTTCATATGTTAGCGTATTAAGTTTAATTTTTGAAAATATCAATGATTAGTAAAAAAAAAAAAATCATCGTTTGATATAAATGGTATTAAGATTAAAAAACTGAAAAGACATTTCATAAAATTTTTAAAAAATACAATACAAAAATATTTTTTAAATTTTTTGCTTCCTACATATTTGAACCTTCTTGTTGAAACATTAACATTACTATCAGATTGGAAAGATTAAATGTGAAAGCAGCAGCAGGGCAGGCAAAGATCCTTGGAACTGTTATTGGAATAGGTGGGGCCATGCTGCTAACATTCTTCAAAGGTGCACAAATACACACAACCTCCTTCCACGTCAGCCTCTTGCATCATCATGATGGCTACGTGGCACCATCCAATTCTTCCACCGGCGGCACCATCTTGGGGGCCATTTGTGCCTTAGGCAGCAGCATCTCTTTTGCCCTATGGCTCATAGTTCAGGTTTGTCATTTTTGCACAAATTATAAGATACTCCTCCTATGCTTAATCTAGTACTTGAATTGATTTTAATTCTAGATATAAAACATTTTGTATATTTATCAATTTTTTAAAATTATTTTTGGTGATATTTTCCCAACAATAATCAAACAGGAGAGAGATAAAAGATATTAAGGAAGATGACTGAGGCGTTTTATTAAAAAAAACACATTTATTACAATTAACTAACTTTCTTAATCTAATGATCATGACCATATCATTTAGTGGCTTTTTTTTTTAAAGTGCAACTTACCGCTAATTTTACATTAAACAAGACTAGGTTGTGGACAAAACTTGAAATAAGTCACATTATTCATGTTTTATAAATTGGGAAAATTTTTATTGATTTTTCATTAAATAGATATAAAATTGTAATAATTATATTGATAATTAATTGATTGCGAGTAAATTAATTTGTGGCAGAGCAAGATGAGTGAGAAGTACAAAAGCCACTACACAACCACTTTCTTAATGTCTTTGATGTCTTCAGTGATATCTGTTGCCTTTGCTCTTTGCTTTGAGAGAGATTGGAACCAATGGACGTTAGGTTGGAATATCAGGCTTCTCACTGTGGCATATGCGGTATATATCTCATTTAATTAATTTATCATTTTTTTTTTGTAAAATCTTATAAATTTATTCTTTTTTACTTTTGAAAGTGCAAATCTTGATCGTTGATTGCTTAATGTGTATTTATTTAGGGGATGGTGCCATCAGGATTAACGGTGGTGATGATTGCTTGGTGTGTACACAAAAGAGGGCCTCTTTTTGTGTCAATATTCAGCCCCCTTTTGCTTGTGATACTGGCCTTTGTTGGATCTTTCTTGTTAGATGAAACGCTGCATCTTGGAAGGTATGTGTGTATATTTTAAAATTTAAGGTTAAATTACATAAAAATTCACTAAATTTAAGGTATGTGTATATATAAAAATAACTCCATTAAACCCTTTTTAACTTAATAAATGCCACTAAATTTTCAAGTCTAAACAGATAATCCCAAACTCTCAGTTTTATATCTTCTTAAACTTTATTTTTGTGAGCATAAATCTCCTCAAACTTCAAGTTATATGAAGACAAACCTCTTAAATTTTAAGGCATTTGCAGATAAGTAACAAACAAAATTATGAGTTATCTACATAAATGTAATAGTTTAGAGGTTCATTAAGGTTTGTATAATTTACCCAAAATTCAGTAATAAAGATACATTGTTTTTTCATGACTATAGTTGAAATAGGGAAACTTATGATTGTTGTATAAATGCAGTATAATTGGTGGGGTGTTAATAGTGGTTGGATTATACGTGGTTCTATGGGGCAAAAGCAAAGAGATGAAGATGAAGAATCTTTTGGTGCCACCACAGATCGAAATCATTGTAGAATCTTCTCTTGATGATGAAAAAAGCAACCATGAAAACAGTATCAATCCTTCACATGAAGTCAGGGACGATGAAGATACACAAAATGCAAGAGTTACAGGGCAAGATAGTACACAAAAAGGAGCCCAACAATAAAAGCAGAGAAATGTCTCTTTATATAAACAAATAAGAAGACATTATTTCCCACTTATCAACGGAAAAAAAAAAAAGAAAGACAAAATATAGAATTAGTTAGTACCGTTAGTGTAATATAGAAAGTTTAAACACTATTCACAAGCTGTTAGCATTATCATTAGCATCAGCACGCGTGTTGATTTACATAAATATGACATCAGAGTACTCATCATGACACACATAGGCATCTATATACTTTCCGCACAAATTCTCTCATACCACACATTCTTTGCTTGTCAAAAATAAAAGTTGTGTCATGATAAGTCTGAAACCCTATTTACCTAGATTTTGTCATTTAAAAACAGAAAAAGACATGCAATCTAAATGCACATCAGCATATTTACAATCTAGTGAAACCAAAAGGCATCTTTAACATAGTATCAATCTCTTACCACTATTTTGGTGCCAAATATTCGATACCGTCTACTGCCCCAGATATCATCTTTAGAAGTGTAGTAAGACTTGAGGCATACCTGAACCCATGGGGGGTTTCTTGAAGCACACTTTGGTACTGTACTATCATCACAAGGCTTCACTCCAAGTAATGAGTTCATCTTCTGTGTCAAGATGCTAGTGCTAGGATAACCATCAAATAGGGTTTCCTACATAAATTATAATACATTTAAGATATGATCAAACACAGAATATGAATGATAAAGTAAACGATGAGATTTTCTCTTTGGGAAAATTTAAAATTATCAGGCAAGGATTAAGTCTTCTCTCCAGTGCGCGGTCAAAATCCAACAAACATCACCTCTTTAAAAGTAAAGAAGTCTGATTATTTGAATACAAGCAAGACTTCTTTAAATTAAAGTGATTGGAGTGAGTTGCCAATAATCTACAGTGTTACGGTCAAAAATATTTTTTACCCCATCCTCAGCATACACAAACGCATGGATCCTGGCTGTTGGATCCTCTACGGTCAACCGCATCCTATAAATCCCACGTTGAGAGCAAAAATCTTTAGCTGACTGTGGCATAGCTGCTGCTATTCGAACAATACACTTGTATTTTGCTGTCACCTATAATTCTTCAAGTCAATATAAATATATATATATATATATATAGAGAGAGAGAGAGAGAGAGGTATGTAACATCAAGAAAAGCAAATGTCTAATATTAAAGAGTACGTTGAGAATTAAGAGCATTGGTAGGTAGTATAATAGATGCTTTTATCAATAAAAAAGGGAAGAACATTAAAAAGAATAACGAAGCATTTTAAATTGTATGATAACATTAATCAGGATGGAGTAAGCTATGCACTCAAAGCTCCACAAGTGTAGGGCCAAATAAAATGCAATGAAGTACCTCTGAATGGGTGAGGACATCCATTAAGGTACAAAGTGGGGCAGCATCATGATCAATCACTGTCAGGGAAGCAAATTCATAATCTTGCAAGAAAATATATAATGTCTGATAAACATAAAATTGAGACCAATAAAAAACAATGCTGAAATGCACATATGAAACCTGTAACATAGGAAGGCCAAGGAAAGCTCCAAAAAGGCATTCTTCTCAGATTCCAGGACATTCGCTCTTCATACAATCTACTCAAATGAATACAATAGACAACAAATCAAAACATCAGTTGACTGATCCAGTATATCCAATCATCTAGAGTCAACAGAGTAGACCACCACCTTTGGCGCTGTTGTATAAGATCATCATCGTTCCGTATGTATCTAAGCTTTGTAGATGGAGACAACACACCATGCCATAGTCCAGCATGCACTTCAAGATGCATATTGACAATTTTGACCCACTTATCATTTTCTAAAAGTTTTAGATGCTTGCTCTCAATTCTTTTGTCATATGATATTCTCAAGATGGACCCAATGGTAGGAAAAGTACACAGCAACTCTCTTGGCAGAGGCACAAGTTCAGGATGTAAAGGAAGAGGATTATGCACTTCATCTTCTAGCCTGCAAGTTATAGAAAGACCATCAAATTTCTTTGGCAATAGTGCAATGCCATCAGTAACTGTCAACATCTACTACATGAAAAATATAACTGATTGTGATATTTCATCTGCCCAGTTATAAATCACTACAAGCATAAGATCAACTCCAGGATCAACTCCAGGACCTACAGCATCCCCGATTACACCCCCAGTCTGTGTACATACAAATGTTTGTTAAGACTCATTGATCTGTGCAAAGATAGAGAGTTGAATGCGATCAAAATCTAGTTGGCAGCTCACAAACTACAGCAACTTGGGCTTGAGCATCAGCCATTTAAATCATATTTAGGTGTTTCTATTAAGTGTCCAAGTTACTATTTGCTTATCTTCTACTTCGTGCAGCCAATATATATTTAATTTGTATTGTGAGGTGTCAGTTTCCTATTTTATAGTAGGAAACACTGGTTTCCTATTTTGTGACGGTTAGTTTATTTCCTAACACATGCAGTGACGTTTAGAGTTTTCTAGCCATAAGGTTTTCTTCTATTGCTTATAAATACCATGGGTTGTGTAAGGCATTGCCAGTTTCATCAATAATAATTTTGTGTTTGGAACTTGTTCTCTTAAATAAGTTCTTTTGAGAACTTGGATTCTGTTCAAGAATATTATTCTTGCAGAATTCTTTCATCGTATCCCACCATTTTGACTTGCTGGTACGTAGCTAATATCTCCTTACAATCTTTGGTTCACATTATTTTAGTGTTAAAGAAATTAGAGGAGAAATCGCTGTGCTTGGCTGAAAGTGGTAATCGTATACTGGGTTATATAGTTGTGGTTAGAGAAGAAAAATTCTAATAGCAACAGAATTCCATATAATTTATCCAAAAAGTAGAACTAAATTTAAACGAACTCACTTCGCAATTATACTGTTTGGTCGCAAATCGGTACCATCCCAAACGAAGATCATCATCCGTTCTTGATTTGCAGTCTTACAGCAATGAAGTACCTTAATATGGCCAAAAGAAAGGACAAACGTAAAATTAATCAAAAAGTTCCTATAGTTTCACTCGATTATTATTCAGGTCCCTGTAGTTTTTTCTTTTTATTAGATATAGTTTCACCTAATTTTAATTAGATTGCTATAGTTTGTTCTATCAAATCCTTATAGTTTCACCTGATTTTCAATCGGGCCTATGTAGTTTGAAGTTGCTGATAAAAAGGAAAAAACTTCAGCGACATGATTAAAAGTCAGGTGAAACTATAGGCACCTGATCAAAAGAAAAAAGAAAAAGCTTCAAGGACCTGATTAAAATCAAATGAAATTACAAAGACCAGACAAAAAAGGGGGGGCTACAAGAACCTAATTAAAAATCAGGTAAAACTATAGAAACTTATGGATTAATTTTCCCAAAAACCCAAGGAAGACAAAAAAAGAAGATTAGATTACCGGAACTATATAATGGTAATAATGAAAATGTCGTTCTTCTCGTTTAGCCACCACGTAGAGAGGCAAGGGATGTACAAGAACATAGATGTGTTTCATAATTAGAACAAGAAAAATACCTTGCATATCAAATTGCAGTGAAGTCCTTCGTTGATATCTCTTAACATTGCATAGGAATCTGCACAGCATATGCAAACCTTAAATATCCACACACATGAACTTATCACCAAAATAGCAAGCAGGGTGATGAAATTATCAGAAAACCAAAAGCTATAGATTCCATGAAACCATGGCTTGTCACACAAGTATTGCTTTCAGCGGCAAGTGATTCCTGATTGAGCTAAAGTTAAACAAATTTATAAATACATCTGAAGAATTAATTCATAGTCAATTGTTTCTGAAAACCAAATTTAAACGATTAGTAGTCATATTAGATAATAAAATTTTTATTATTTTCACTGCAGTACTGCACCAAATTGTTGAATGTAATGCAGCATGCTATGCACATTGAAGAATACGTTCATGCACATTATGCGTAGTTTGGATTAAACCAGTTATAATGAAACAGCTGCTCCCAAAGCATATTAAATGCTACAATCTTAGACCTTGAATGAGTTGAGAATTCAGCAGCCATTTTCTTAGCTCAGCCAAGAGCCTTTTGTCCACATCTCTAGGGTGATATTTTGCGGAAACTTGGTAAGGGGCAAAATCAATGTTGTCTTTGCCATTATATAACGCAAAAGATGAAAACTTTTTATTGAAAACAGCATTTACTTCATCACCATGCCTTTTTACCTACAAAATCAGAAAACATATATTAAAAGATAAAGAGCCCTAAGTTCATCACAAGATTGACAGATTTATATATAATGCAGCAGTCAATCAAAATTAGAATTAATCTTCAGCGTATTTTCCTTCTATAAACTAAATTGGTGCACTGAGAGAAATCAAACCAAATAATATTAAAGGCTTGTTGTTATAAAGATTGACTGAACATTTTTAAAGCATCTTTATGACTTTATGTATAGGGTAAAATGTAAAATGTTTAAAAAACAAAGACGCATATTTGTGTTTATAATATTCAAAGAAACTTAATCATTCATTCAACAATATTATAAGAATATTACGTTACCTTCGTATCTATTAAGCCAACTAATCAAGCAGTCATGAGTACTGACATTCTCATCCTACCCTTTGAAAGTAACTGTAGATGGCTTCCATAGTTGCTTTCTTTCTTTTACTTCTACTATTGTTTGCCCCATTTTTGTTTCCTTTCAGATGAACTGAAGCACTCCTCAACTACACTAAAACCCTTCCCACCACGAGGGAAAAGTACCCCAGTTATATCATAGAAATTGCAAATAAAAAATCCCAAATTTCCTTCATATCACTTACACTGTTCACCACAAAGTCAAACTAACTACTCGAAGTCTCATGCTGTCATTATCAAACTGCATATTCCTTTCAAATCTTCATGCATTCAAAAGATGAACATCATTATGAGCAAACAGATGAGATGGCAAAAGTTAGCAAAAATTCAATATTTCAAGACCTTGAAGGCAGAGTGAGGACTACAGAGAAAACCAGTCTGCTACTGAGTTTAGGACACATTAACAAATATTATTGACAGAATCAACACATAAAAATATCCAATAGCCAACAGTAATACAGGAAAAGCAAAGCAAACGTGTTCTAGAGAATCTACCATCAAATTAAGGACTTGGACGACCATTACCATCACATTACAAAGCTGAACTATGTCTCCTCTTTCTACAACATCAGGAAGCTGTTTCGAGCTTTCAGCAAAAAAGTTAACGCACATCCCAGGTGTCTGATATGATTGATCAATTATTTTCAAGGTACAATAGTAATCTGCAGAAATCATTCAAGTAAGCCAATAAGCAAGAGCGGAAAGCATTTCATGCTAATAACTAAGAAAGACACACTACCTCTAATCCTTAATATAAGAGCCAGTTGGAGATTCAATTTGGTTTTAAATATAAGACCCCAATCTACTTTGTCTCTAATATTTATCCATTTTGCCGCCAAGTGATTGCACATGTTAAAGAGGTTTCATGAAAGGGTATTTCAATATACATAACTAATAGGGATATTTCGAGGAAGACAACATCTATTTATTACAAATAACTAACGTAACTAATATACTTAATATTCGCAAATTAGTTATTTAGCTCTTACATTAAGGATTAGAGGTAGTATTAATTTTATTCCTCAAGTAAAAACAAAACCAAAACCTAGTCTTTTTAAGGTAAGCATTCAATAAAAGAAAGACGGCCATAGAGACACAAGCTCAGAAAAGCACAAATATGTAAGCAGAATGTAAAGAAAAAAAGTTCAACACAATGAGTCTCATAGAAACTTGAAACAACTAAGTTTAGCAAGTACAGCCATGTTGAATTTTACCCTACTAAAATAGAAGCCCTTTTAGCACACAAATGCATCAACCAAAATGTAATCATGAAACTGGCTCAGAACATATACCTTAACAAAAATATTCGTCAACCTACTACCAGTAAACTAAATGGCAGCTGTAAGTCCGGCCTTGATTCTTCATTGCCAGTCAAAGTTCAAACCAACCAAACTCCACTCTCCCACTACTTTGTGAAGTCCAACATGAGTTTTCTTGAAGAAAAGGTGAAATTTGAATAATTCTTGATCCATTAGGAATCCAAAATCATGAAATTAGGTAATAAAAGCATGAACAAAAATTGAGCCTTTTCAAGGTGATGACCATAACAACGCAAGCTCAGATAAGCATAAACAGTATGAAAAGGAACACAGTGCAGCATGATGAGCTTCCTACAAACCTAAAACAACCAAGTTTAACAACAGTTCAATAAAACTGAACTTTACCCCGCCAAAGCAGAATACTTTTAGCACGTATTGGCAGGACATAATCATGAAACTGGCTCAGGCATTACACCTTAACAAAAAGAAATCATCAATCTACTACCAATAAACTAAAATGGCAGCCGTAAGTCCGGCCTTTGATTCATCATTGCCAGTCCAAATGAAAACCAAACAAACTTCACTCTCCAAATACTTTGTAAATTTCAACCACATGAATTTTTAAAAATGTGATATTTAAATAATCCTTGCTTCCTTACGAATCCAAAATCATAACACCAAAACAGTGCACAGAAGCACTAATATGTAAACAGTACGAAAAGGAATACAGTGCAGCTTAATGAGTCTCCCTGGAAACCTTAAAGAACAAAGTCTAATGACAACTTAGCCATGTTGAGCTTTAACCCCACTAAAGTAGAAGACTTTAATTACATATTGGCATCAGCCTAGAACATAATCATGAAACTGGCTTAGAACATACACCTTAAACCCCCCGGGTAACAAATCATCAATCTACTACTAGTTAACTAAATGGCAGCCACTGGTCCAGCCTTTAATTCATCATTGCCAGTCAAAATCTATTCAACCAACCTCCATTCTCAAAATACACCGTAAATTACAAGAAGAATTTTGAAAAATGTGAAATTTGAATACTCCTCACACCATTGGGGATTCAAAATCGTAACATCAAATGCAAAGTTTAAGCAGCAAGATCCATCGAACAGAAAATTTACCCGTGCCCCTACTTTGCTTTGGCAAGCCAAACTCAACTATAATGCCCGTTATGTTCACTTTTTGATTGATACACTTCATGGCATCTTGTATGGAAAGAAACTTGTAGTGATCGGCAGTTTCCATTTCTCTCTGTAACTTTCTGAGCTCTCACCTCTGCCCAGCTGCTGAGAAAAGCAGCCCCTGCACCTCAGTAAATAATAGAATAAATATGTAAGTTACCCCCAAGAAAAAAATGGAAATGCTCTCACCACTTGCGGCCCCGTCTCTCTTTCGCTGCTCCCACGACAATGGGATCGATGGACGACGGAGTTACTGACTACCCAGAGAAATAAGGCGAGAGCGGCGGCGCCAGTGGTGGCCTTGCACGATTAGATGTGATCGCAGGGGGATAGCAACGGCGACAACAGTGGTGGCAACGGGCGAGACTCTGGCCTCCCCACTCCCCTCAGTAGAACGCAGCCCGGCAGACGGGTTTCGGGCCTTGAAAATGGAAAAAAATCGAACCGGACAAAATTTTTAGGGTTAATATAATTTTAATGGTTAAGTTTGGATTTATTTTTATTTTAAAAACTCAAATTTCAATAATCTAAATTTTTATTAAATTATAGAAATTAATAATTTTTTTGGGTGAAAAATAGGACAAAATGCCCAAACTCAACTATTATTTATGTCAACTGACTCAAGCATTCAAAGCCTATTACGTCTTTATACAGAAACATCTATAAACCCTCAGTTGGATCGTACAAAAGCTGTAGGCCAAGAACTTGATATAAGCTCCGGTTAGGATAGGAACCAATGTTTTAAATTAAAAAAAAAATTTGAGAAATCAAAACACATGATTTAAAACTTAAAGGATCAAAATTAAAATAAAGGCAGACTTAAAAAACTGAAAATTGTATTAACCCTGAAGTTTTAAGTAATATATTTTTAAATTTTATTTATGACATTAGAAATAATATTTTATAAAGTATTATTTTGAAAAATTGAAATTATGAAGTGACTTTAAATAATTTTTTATTATTGATAAAAATCTTATCATAGATTTTTGAAACAACTTTAAATTTGTTTAGTACTGTTCTTTGAATTCTAAACTAAATGTAGGAGTTGATCAAAGAGCTGTTGAGAATTTTTCTTTGTCATAAACATGGTATTAAAAACTGGACCGGATCGGAAACCAACAAACCAGCCAGGAAACCGATCTAGTTGAGCCTATAAACCGGGGTCACTTTGACCTGGTGTGACCCAATAATGACCCGAGTAACCCGCCCAGTTTGGTGAGTTAGCCCAATCCCCTTTTTTTAAAAAAATATATTTTAATGATTTTTTTTTTAAAATTATTGATAACTAGGACTTAGTGATTGAATAATTATAGGAAGAAATACTTTGTTATCATATATCTATTTTGATATTTTGTGGGGATGAATATTTAGTGATTTTAATAGCATGATATTATCAGAAATTGTAAAGATGTGATTATTTTACTAGTGATTCAAAATATTAAATTGATATCTAGTTCTTAGTGAAAATTTAAATTATTTTTTACTTTTTTATTTCTCACATGTTTGACTCTGATTTGACCTATTGACTTTTAACCCATTGTCTTGACCGATTCAATTACCGGTTTGGTTTTCAATATCTTAGTTATAAATGCCAAACCTTAATATAGTGTAACTTTTCCTTGTATGTGTGGGATACGGTCCAGCGTGCCCAATAATAGGCTTTATTGATTTCTTTGATTCCTTTATAATTTCTTTTTGGGCTCTAAGCGTCTGCATTCTTCAATTACCAAAAAAAAGTATCATTACATGAACATAAATGGACCCTATTTTCCGCAGCCTTGCTAATATGATTTCCATCTAACACTAATTAATTTGCTATCAAACCGACCCCGAGCTTGCCAAATGAAGAAATGTTGTGAGCATTATGCCTATTATGGAGAAAATTAATTAGCCTAATTAACTCCTGTGCATTCTTCTTTATTATATTGCATCACGTCATTATAAATATAAGAGCTAATTGATTAATTTAAGTAGATTAAAGAAATTAGTTAAGTTAGTTATTTTTAATAAATAGATGTTGTCTTCCCTAAAATACTGGTACTAATCTTATGTATTAGCTATAACTATCATTTGATAGAATCTTTAACATGTACAACTACTAAGGATTACTTTAAAAAAATAGATATATATAAGAAACAAAATATATTGGGGTTTTATATTTAAAATCAAATTAAATGTCAAACTAACCATTATATTAAGAACTGGAGAAAGTATATACACTTCCGTAAATTTGTTTTTATATGAATGAGTTCCCAGAAAATAAGTTTTTCTATCCAAACATCAATTTAGTGAATGTTAATTTGCCAAAAAGACTTTTGGGGTACCAATAGCGGTATCCAAACACGCCCTTAATCTCTGGAAGTGAAAAAAAAAAGGCAAAAAATGTAACTTTAACATTAATACCTTTAATTTTATTGACAAAAAATGTCAATATTAAAATTTTAAATATTGACAAATCATTCATAAATACTAAAAATGCTTATATATTTTGACAATCTTTTTCTCTCAAATGGAAGTCATACATTCAAATTGGTGACATAAGATTCAGTCCAAACAAAAATTGGTGATATAAGATTAATTTTTTCTTTCGTTGCCGATTTCGCCACAAATATATCAAAAACTTGTCATTGAGCTGCATGGAAGATTGAGATTGAGTCGGTTTTTTTTTTTTTTTTGCATACGACATTTGGAACATACAATTAATACAACTTCTTATATTGATATGCTAATTAATTGATTTTGATTAAATTTTGTGGCTAAGGAAGATGATTAAGTACAAAAACAATTTTGATGGGTTTAATTTTAAAAAATTGGAGAAATATTTTAGTTTTATGTATACATGTTGGATTCTCATGCATGCTCACGAGGATTGATGACCTTAAAACAAATTTCTTTCAAAAGCACATACTTCCAACAGAATTCGCGTACAAACGCACCTGAAAAATGGTCATCATGAAGATTTGCATATACTTGCAAGGAAAAAACCCACCTTTTAAGGAATTTAAGTTGCTATGTATGCATGTTTTTGGCGAACCCTTAACTTGTGCCCACAAGCAAAGGTGGAGGGGGCCAACCGGTTCAACAGCAAGAGAATTTCAAGAGTTTTTTTCCCCCCCCCTTCCCTCGTTAGGCACAGATATTTTCCTATTTGAGGCAATTCTGTTTGAGAGATTGTCAAGTATTAAATGTGAACATCTTTCTCAGTAAAAATTCGAATTTTGATTTATCATGTTGTGAGTGACTACCTCTTTTTGTTAAACTGAATCCCATTAATAAAGATTTTCAAGAGTTAATTTCTAAGATATGAGTAAAATTAGGGAGAATACTTGATTCAAAAGATTAATTTTACGATAGCTAGATCTTAGTTATGAAGCACAGGAAGTGATTGATTTACAAATGACATGCCTATATTTGTAGCTATCTGCAATTGCTACACATTTTCCAGCTGCCAAATTTGTTCAGACCAAGCTATCACTCCCTATCTGGTTCTAAATGTAAATCCTATATAATTAATTTGTAACAATTTTTAAAAAGTTATTGTTAAAGAAAGTGTGTTGATCGGTTTTCCTAAACTACTGCGATCAATTATTTGTATTGAAAATTACCCCATAGAAATTGTTCTTTAATATGTGGCTATGTGCAATATAATCAATCAATAGAAATAATTTTTTTAACAAAATAAAAATTTATAAGGTATAATTAATTAAGATATTACATTTAGGATTAAAGTAAATCCTTCAATTAGTCTATATACCGAAAAGAATAAATCTTTCAACTAATTTCAACTAACTTCTATATAGGACCAAATGGAGTATTAAATTAATCTTTTGAGACCTCATTAACGGACGTCTAAATACATTAACTTCATTAGGATGTAATGTAATACTCAAAAAATTATTTTGAGATTAGCTCAATTTCTTTATTGACGGATAAACGGGCTTCAAAATCCCATTATTATACAATAAAAAGAAGTAATAATTAAGAAAATTAGGAGAAGATGAAAAGGTGTGTGCGTTACATTAATAAATACACAAAGAGAACGTGTAATGCAAAAGCAGGCTGTTGGGAAACAACACCCTTTAACAAACAGTGAGATCTTGCTCATTTCCTCCATAAATACCCTCTTCATCACATCTTTCTCCCAAGCTCATCTAAAACACTTACATACTCTCATATATTCCAATTCCTTCTCTCTCACTATCTTATTCTAAACCCTATACTGATTCCTCCAGCAGCCGGTGGCGCCACCGCAGGTGGCGGTGGTCTTGATGATGACAGATGTATGGAATGTGGTGGACGGGTTGAAGCCGGCGATGTTAATGGCAGTGGCGCAGATAGCAGGTACCGGCCTCAATGTGCTGTACAAGCTCGTCGCGGATGACGGCATGAACTTGAGAGTGGTTGTTGCCTACCGTTATATCTTTGGCAGTATTTTCATTGCTCCCGTTGCCCTCATTGCGGAGAGGTTAATTATTTCTTATATTATTATCAGATAATCCTTTTTAACTGTGTATTTTATGTTATATATTTTCCAAATGTGTTTATGCTAGAGTTTAATCCCTCTTGAATTTCTTGTGCTGCTTAATTATCTTTTCCTTATGTGAAACATGTATACAACCACTAGTGCAGAAGGACTTTTTATGTTGATTAGAGGAATTATCAGTTATCACGTTGGGTTGTGAACATGTGTAGTTGTTTGTTTCTAAATTTATGTCGGACTTTCTTTTGACCAAAAAAAAATTTATGTCGGACTTTCTACGTTGATTGGTGAATAATAGCATAGTAAAACTTACATTATTCAGTTACTTAGTATAAAAGCTAGATAACTAATTTAAAAATATTAAAAAAATTAGTTATTTGTCACAAATATAGTTTGGTCTACGTAAACCAATCTCTTCAATCATGCGCATTGGAGGAATAAAATTATCTCTTAGTGGAAACTCCTTATAATCAATAGGGATCTTTTAGGAAAGATGAGAAACAAAATAATAGATTGAGGTTTTATATTTAAAATTAAATTTAATTCCTGGCTAGTTCTTATATGAAAGACTAAATCTAGTATATTGATTTGTGATTAAAACTACCTCTGGTCCTAAATATAATATCTAATTTGTAGTGGTATTCATACTACAAATTATATTTTATATTTAGGATAAAGTGTACTAGTATATTAGAAGGAAAAATCCCATATAAATATTATTTGAATTCTAAAATTTCAAATTAGTCATTTTAATTTCAGAAAGGACAAATAAGTCTACATGTACTAATTTGGAATTTGCAAAATTTGGCAATTTACCTACATGCCATTTTTGTCAAAATTAGAGACAGTTTCTCTCTCTCTTTAGGTCCTCTTCTCTCTCCCTCATGTTGTTCCCAGTGTCCTTCTCTTCAAAAATAATTACACACCCTCTCCTTACTTCCAAATCGTTCCTCTCCGAACGTCCAACCCTGGTTCACCATTGTTTGCACTTCCTATTTTGATTACCTCCATGTTCCTTATGTTACCATTCCTCAATTATACAACGGGCTATTTCTCTATTCTTCTAGCTTCTTCATGCTACTCGAAGAACATGTGTCTGTACCTTGGGCTTCCTTATTCCTCATTTGAATATATGTAACATAGTTGCTATCACAAGGTTGCTAATTTTTGGTAAATACTATCACTTTATTGGTCAAATCTATTACGAATGTAATAAATCATGAAAGTTATTGTTAGCATGTTTATTATAACATACTTCAGGTGTACTGGTCTATTATCTACTAATTTCTCAAAACATTTACCCTATTGTTTAATTCCTCCAAGAGGTTATAGTTAGTGAAAATTGACAAAGTCAATAATATGAAAATGGTCAAATGCATTTTTCAGGTTGTCAATTACATTATATGTCTAGTCAATTTATTTAACTAAATCCCCCCAAATTGCACAAGGTATGGAAATGACTAATAATATGTTGCAAAACATGTTAAAGAAATAGTTGAATTCATTTATCAAGTTGTTAATCACGTTGCCTATTTAGTAAAGTTGATTCGAAATGGCTAATAATATGTTGCAAAAACGTGTTATGTTTAGTAAAATTGTTTGGAATAGCTAATAACTTGTTATAAAATATGTTATGGAAATGGTCTTATTTCATTTCGTAAGTTGTCAGTTACGTTATATATTTAGTAACTTTGTTCAACTAAATTACCCTAAGTTTTACTAAGTTTGTTAATGGCTAATAATAGGTTACAAAATGTATTATGAAAATGCTCAAATTCAATTTGAAAGTTGTTAATCACTTTACAAATATCATCAAAGGCTTGCCTGATTATAATAATACCTAAAAGCAAAACTTTTTTATGCTTTTCGTCTCTTGGTGGCATTTTAGTCTTTCCACTAAACTTTGCAAATCCCAAATTCATACCTCATGCCTATTTGGTCTTTTTACTTATTTGCATGACTTATTTGTCTTTTTAAATTTCAATAGATATTTTAGATCATTTTCCCATATTAGAATGTTAGTTATTTGTTCTAAATTTATGTCGGATTTATATGTTGATTTGTCAGTAATAATACATTAGAGTTTGGTCGTTGGTTCTAAATTTTATGTTGGTAAAACAATCGTTGTGTTTTTTTTTTTAATAATCACAAACACTTTTTTTTAATCCGCTAATCAAATTTCACCACATAATTTTAGAATTCAAAGGATAGTTTTTAATAATCTTATTTTTTTAGTTATTGAACCCTTTTATTTTACCAAGTCCAATGTTACTTAAATTACACTACAAAAAAACATCAATAAACAATCTTAATAAATAAGGGCACAGAGGGAGTAATAAACAATCTTCTTTCTTCCTGTAGACATGCTGCTATATGTTGTACTTCCTCTGGTCCTATATATAAGCTTCATTTTTGAGCTGGTTTGAGCATTTATTATTATTATTTTCTATTTTACTTTTAGTTGATTGTATTTAGTACTCTCTCACACATTAATATTATCCCCATATATTCTCTTTCATCATTTTTTTATTTATTGCCTCTCATTTACTCTCTTAATAAATAAGGGCAAATTTGGAGAAAAAATTCATTTCTGACCTATTTATTTTTTTAACTAATTTTAACTGTTAGTTTGTTAAACGTAATTCAGTTATTTGAAGTTTATACATGAAACCAGAGAGAGTATATTATATTCTGTGCTTGAGCCTTGCTGCTGCTGCAACAACAACAATAATAATAAAAGGACTTGGACCACACTCTTTCAGGAAGAAAAAATTTAAAAGAGAGAAAAGAAAATGTCCTCGTACGTTCTGATCTAAGATGCATATGAAAATAAGAAATTAATTAGGAAGCTTTTTTGTTTTAATTAAATGACTAATTAATGGTAAATTGTTAATTATTTGCAGGAACAAAAGACCAAAGATGACTTGGACTATACTCTTTCAGGCATTTCTAAGCGGGTTATTTGGGTATGTATCAAATTAGGAGGAACTATATATCGTCACCAAAATTAAATGCTTTTTATAATTAACGATTTCTCTTTAAATAATAAGTTGAGAAATATTTTAATTAAAAATATTGTAATTATATATAATAATATATAATTATGATCGACTAGATATTACTATTTATGAGAAATAAATGGCATATAAATTACTGATATTATGTTAATTATTATGTAGAGGATTAATGTCACAGAACTTATACTTGGAAGCATTGGCTTTAACTTCTACAACATTTGTTTCTGCGATGGCCAATCTGAGTCCGGCCGTCACCTTTCTCTTGGCCGTCTGCTTCCGGTAAGTTTCTTTGCAATTATAATAATTTTGTTTCTACTTTTACTGTCGTTTTTTTCCTTCTCTTGTTTCTTATAGTTATTTCTTCTTTTTTTTTTTGGTCTTTTTCCACTCACAAATTTATTGTGCTAAGGTTCTTCAATGACGGTTTATCTTGTAACTTGGAACACATTTCTAATTTCGCCTCCACAAAAATTCCTTTTAGTTTTATGGGCCCTTTATTCAACACCCTTTTTCCTTCTAGAAGCAATCTTATACACGAATAAAAATGATTTGAAAATAGCTTAGTAGTTTATTAAAAAAAAATGAATGTATTTTAATATACTTTAATATTTTTAATTGATGTGATTTTATATATTTGAATTGTATAGTTTAAATGTGTAGTTTCTATTTATTTTTATAGTTATTTTTAACATTTTTGTATTTTGTTAGTGTATATTTTTTCAATTTTCTGTACAAACTTTGTTTTTTGTTAATGTATATTATCTGTACTTTCTATTCCACTAACTAAGACAAAAATATTGAAATCTCTAAAAAAAATTCAGAAAGTTTAGGTAAAATTACACATGTGCCTAACAAAAAAAATTATATTTTTATGTATTTGTTTTTATTTCTATTTTAAAATAAATTTTGAAATTTAAAATTATTTTATTTTCTATCTCACCTCAGTTAACGTATAAAATACTGAAATATTCAAAAAAAAAAAGACATCTAAATCAGAATTAAATATGAAAAAAAAAGTGGACAGTTTATGAAGCAAATCGTCCCTTTTTAATTGATGTGTTTAAAATTTGTGCACAGTTTGGAAAAGCTAAATTTAAGAACCACAGCAGGAAAAGCCAAGATCATTGGAACAATAATAGGAATAAGTGGAGCTATGATAATAACAATCTTCAAAGGCTCAGAAATAGACACAGGCTCCTTTCACATAACTCTCTTGCATCACCATAGTGGACACGTGGCATCACCCCATTACTCTTCCTCTGGTGGTAACACCCTCTTGGGTTCTCTCTGTGCTTTGGGAAGCTGCCTTGCAAATGCCTTCTGGCTCATCGTTCAGGTCTTTCATTGATAATATTAATTTGATAGTATTTTTCAAATCTACCCATTAAAGTTTTTTCTTTCCTCTCCGTCTACGAATCATTCTTACATTTGCCTCATCTTTCTCTTTTTCTTATGAGAATTAAATAAGGATAAAATTATATAAAGATTATTATATACACTACAAGTAATTTATATTTAGAACAAAAAAGTTCTCCTACAGGTGAATTATACTAAGAATAAAAGTGGTATTATATTAATAAGTTATTACCAATTTATTTTTGTTTATTACAAATTTAACGTTAATTTGATTATCATGACACCTACAGACTATGATAAGTAAAAGTTACCCATGTCATTACTCAAGCACAGCTCTCATGAGTTTGATGGGATCACTCCTTTCCACTGCTTTTGCTGTTTGTCTTGAGAGGGATTGGACTCAATGGCAGTTAGGTTGGAATGTTAGGCTTCTCACAGCGGCTTATTCAGTAAGTTATTTCTTCATACCCTGAATGTACAAATTCAATAACTAATTTATGAAGATTAATTAAATTAGTTGTTTGTAAAAAGATGTATTTTGGCTTTCATAAAATACCTGTTTAATCATTTTTATTGAGAATTACTCATTAGTCGATAGAATAATTTTGGAGGAAATTGTAAATTTGAAAGACAAAATAGATTGATATCTTATATATCTATGAGCAAAACAACTCTTTAATGAGCTCCTATATTTAGAACAAGAGAGAGTATTGATTATTTCAATTGTGAGATTCGTGGTGTATCATGTGAAGTTTGATGAATGAAACACATTGTGTATGTAACTAGTGCAAAATGTGGTTTTCTATTGAATATATAGTTCATAATGATATTTTTGCCAACACATTTCATATTAACATAATGAGAATTATATTGTTTGGTAATCTAATTTTCATTGACTAAATTAATTGTAGGGAATAGTGATTTCTGGAGCAATGGTGGTGGTGACGGCTTGGTGTGTGCATATGAGAGGCCCCCTTTATGTCTCTGCTTTCAACCCCCTCTTGCTTGTGTTTGTGGCTTTTGCTGGCTCTTTCATGTTAAACGAGAAGTTACACCTTGGAAGGTAAGTATATGCATGTGTGTTTAATTTATTTTTCATTTTAAAACCCTGTGTTTGTATGTTTGTGTAATTTGCTCTTGATGTGCATAAAATTAGTTATTTATTGTAAAATATAGTTCTCCTGTCTCTTATTATAAAATCCAAATAATCAATTGTGTGGTTTAAAAAAACTGTTAAAATTAGTTAAAAGTAATAAATATATAAGAAATATTTTTTTAAAAAAATATGCCTTTATTTAGAAGCTGGTAAATGAGAGAGAGAGAGAGAGTAGTAATGAGAAAAATAATGAAAGAGCACATATGTAAAAAATTAATTAGGAGTAAAATTCCTAATGATGCATAGAAAACTACGAAGTGAATCTTATAAAAAGGAAATAGAGGGATTCAAAAATTTGGATCTTATGAAAAAAGGATGGAGGGAGCATTAAAATTATCCTCAATAAAAATAGTTAATTAGAAAAATTTGTTTAGTTAGTTAGAAAATTTTATAGTTTGTTAGGAATACTACATGAAAAAAAAAGTTATTGCGTCATATTGATAGACTCATTGGAAATGTGCTTATAACAAGAACGGGAGGGAGGGAGAACTCTATAACTGAGTTATATATTTGACTGACTCTGTTTTTTTTTTTTTTTTTTGAGTTTGCAGTATAATAGGAGGGGTGTTGATAGTGTGTGGGTTGTATTTGGTTTTGTGGGGAAAAGACAAAGAGATGAAGAAGATGAATCAACTTGTTCCTTCACAGAGCCTTCATGAAATCACAGTGAGATCTTCTGAAGAATATAAAATCAGTCCCTATATTGTTAATCCTCAAGTTGAAGATTTCAAGCATCATGATCATCCAACAGAAAAGGATATAGTGAAGTATGCAAATGTCCAAAATAAAAGGTGATAGCCATATATAAACAGGAAGAAGAACCAATATCAAGTAGTAAACCTAAAAGATTTATATGTGGTTCCAGATATGTATTAATGTGCTTAAAACAAAAAAGAGAATAGACATGGATTAATTGATGAGGGTGACAAAGTAGGTGGCAAGGGGAGGAGAACCATATGCTTTTCTTTTCTAACCCCCAATTTTTTTAAAAATCAAACAGTGAGTTGAATTGGAGGTCAAATTTTTTTACCATGGAAGATGATTGATTGATAACTCAAAAAAAAAATTATATATTTAAAATTAAGTTATTAATTAAATGCAGAAAGATTAAGGATTGAGTTTCATATTAAATTATTTCCATTTGAGCTGGACATTATTGGAAGCCCATTTGAATATTTCCGCAGAACCCATGGAAGAGTACGTCACGAGGGAAAAAGAATTCTATAGGGGCTTAATAATATAATGGTTGAATGAAAATAAAGTCAAATTTTTTTTAAAAAATGACAAAAAAATATTTTTGAATTTCAAAAAGATAAATAAATTATGTTGATTGTTTTTGTAATGATTTTGACAAGTTAAAATCTGTCAAAATCACTTATTTATTATTTTGAAATTCAATAGGCCTAATTTCATTTTACTCAACGGCAAAACACAATAAATATACAAATAAATGCAAAACATAAATCACCTTATCATAATATATTTTCTAAGAAAAATAAACTTACCTTTGAAAATAATATGAAGTTCTCCACAACACTAATCTATTCTATATCTACTTATCTGAAGATAAATCCAAATCCATATCTGAAATCGAAGCAACACTTTAGTAAAATTGGTTAAATACATATGGACATTACAGTGAAAAAGAAAAAGCAAGTTCCTTTTGACACAAGAAATTCCCCCAAGATTAGTCATGCCAATGGACATCATAAATATATTGGAGAAGTGGCAAATTAAACAAACAATAAAACACATTATTAAAAGCACCACCCACAATAGATATCAATTGCATGACAAGTTTCAGTATAAAAAATAACGATAAATATCTATCGTAGTGTTCACTTGTTATTAAGATTTTTTTAGTGATTATATTCTTTCTTTGAATTCTCATTAGCGATCTCCCACATCTTTTATATATATATATATATATATATATATATTATCGAAAGCCAAATTAGCTATATCTATAGTTGACCTATGTATACACAGTCAAGGTGCACAAATTTTAAAGTAATTCAGGGGTAAAGAAATGTTCAGATATCAGATAAAGTCAAATCAGCTATATCTACATAAGTGGTCGTTTGTTTGTAATTGCCACATGCATATCTTTTTAAACTCTTTATTTTTCTATTGCGTTCCCTTCCGGTGGTTTAAGAGAATTGTGGTAAAGAATCTTGGGACCTATAAACATTCTAAATTGAGGTGTATTCGCCTCTGGCATCTAGGAGCAAGGAGAGCAAATCTTTTGAAGTTGAGATCCATGAATTTTTATGAAGTTTTTTTAAAAAAAATATTTTAACCATTTTATAATTTTTTATAAAATATAAATATTCTCTATTCCTTAAAAAAAGGGCAAACTTCAAGATATTTACTGATTGTCAACTTTGGAGGATCCATACTCTTTTTGGAACAACAATATTATGAAGCAGAACACTTAGGGCTGAAAATGTATTTAGGCAGTTTTGAAATTTTTTTATCATGCTATTTTGATTTTGATTTTAGTCAAGGACCAAGATTTTCTCTTTTTTATTTTTTAGGGGGCGACAAGGACGAAGATTTTTTGTCAGGACTTTACTAATTTTAGATTGTTAAAAGGTAATAATCCCAAAGGATCCGTGTCATTCTTCCAAGGAAAAAAGACAACATAGAGAACAAAGAAAGCAAAAGATGTGGAAGAAGACGATTGGACGAACGTGTCATAGTAGAAAAAGTTCTAGGATAGAGGTTTGAAAAAGCAAAAGGCCAAAAAAAAAAAGCATTGGGAAGTGAAATCATGGTTCATGGGTGGCGAGAAGATGATTCTTCCCAAAAAAATTTAAAATTTAAAAAAAGAAAAAGAAAAAGAAAAAACGTAATGGCAAAACAATAGAAATAGAAAAAGCAGCTATGAAAAAAGAAGCCTAACGGTATGTCTGGAGAACTTTTTTGACCCCAAACCCTCGACCTTTAATACAAGTTATATAACTTACTTTTATATGCCTTATTGAAGTGAAGAAAATTTATTTGCATCGATAAAATTGTTTAAACATCACTTTGTTTTTCATTTTTCGTTTAAAATATATACCATCAATTTAAAAATGTATTCTCTCTTTCTAATAAATATAGAAAGAGCAATTTCAAAATAAAGCAATCATTGTTGCTTTAAAAATTCTAGCAGATTAAAAACTTAGTTACAAAATAAATTATTCAAGCAGATTTTTTATCCCCCAAAGTTTGTTCTGAAAGATAGGCTCATAAATCAAGTGTTCCTTAACCCAGTGCTGTGGGTAATCTCAAATATATTACGGCGTGGACTGAAATTGATCTTGTGTATCATATAAGTTTGATGAACATGTATATGAATAATCTTGGAAAGGATATCATTGTAGTGTGATCCTTCATTATTTGAAGGATACTTCTGATTTTGGTTTGGTGTTTGATCCGTCCCTGTCCCGTCTCATCTGTCCCATGTCCCCTTTCATCAATAATTTTGCCCCATCTCGAATTAAGTCTTCCATCATCCGTTGATTATTTAATATTGTGGTCAACTTTGCCAAATGATAGAGTGTTTTTCATGCTCTTTAGCTTCTATGTGATCGTCACGTTGTGACATCCAGACGTGTTCGTCGGGTCAAGATCTATACTTGTCACGTCCAATTCCGTGTTATCTCGGGCTCTCATCACGTTGTCACATAAATATGTGCTCATTTACATTGCCGCCATCCAAATTTAATTTGCTTCTACTTGTCTTAGTTTTTTTCCTCCCAACTTGAAAGCATGCTAAAGAAATTAACCCTTAATTGGTGTAATGATCGGTAAATCCTAAGGTCCTTTGGCATAATTTTTTTAGAAGTGCTAAAAAAATAAAGAAAATGAAAGACAAGAAGAAAAAGAGATGAGTTGAAATTTAAGATTCATGACATGGGAATCAACAAAACTTATATTATAAAGGAATTTCAAAATAGCTAATATGAAAGAAATGAAAGTAAAATATTGGAGCAACAATAATGTTGTAGAATTGCTAAGTTCTAGAAATAAACATATGTTGCGAATCTACGCTGGATGTTACAAATCCATTGGATGTGTGCAATGAACCTGACTTTTCAATCAAATAATGAGTCACGAGGCCTTTTACTACAATTTCCCCGCATGCAAGCGCGCAAAAATAAAGAATATGAAAGTTGAGAAGAAAAAGAGAAATTGAAGAGTGATAGATCTGAGTAAGATGTGAGGTCTGAGGATTGTTCAGAAACATCAAGATCTTGTTTGAATCTTAAGACGTAATAGTGGAATTCTCAGATGTTCTTCGAGAATAGGACGCAGGTCATGTGGATTACATCAAATCAGCATAAATTGCTGAGTGTGCTTCCTATACTTAGTTACATGTCGCGATATTCTTCTTTGTCTCATTTCGTTATTGATATATTTGCTTCAACCATAAATTTGCAAAATTTTCTTATCGTTCAATTTAGCCGTCCTTTAAATGACCTTAATTCTAACTGCTTGGAGAGAATTTTGAAATGATTCGGTGTTACGTCTACAACGCTGTATTTGACTCGACGAAAGGGAGGGATTTTAATCAAGAAAAGGGAAAGGGGAGGGGAGGGGAGCGATTTTAATGATCTTCTATTTGGATTGATTGGAGGAGAGGAGAGGGAGCAATTTTAATAATACTTTATATTGTTTGAATAGAAAATTGACTATTTTAACCTCATAAAATTTAAATGAATTTTTTACTTTTTTATTTTTGTCAAGATATAACTATATATATAATGCAATTCGCCAATTTTGATTTACAAGACACAGTCACATACTTATAGAATATCAAGATAAAAAGTCATGAGTGATAGATTTCAATTAAAGAAAAGACCTTGAAGGTGAAAGAAAATACCGACGGCCTCTTGGAATTAGAAGAAGAGGAAAAAAAAAGGTCTACAAATGCTCACTAATTTTGAAGACAATTATTTCAACAACCTCTTGCTAGATGCTCAAAAGAACTCTCTTATATGGAAATGTTTACGACTAATTAGGGGTTAAAAAATCAAAAGGGTATACAGGGAATTAAAATATTATCTCTCACATCTCCTCAAAAAAACTCTATTTTTGGAGGGGAGGCTAGAAAGGAAGAGAAGGGGAGAAGAGCCCCTCCCTTCTTTAAAAAATATCTTAACCAAATGAGGAGAGGGGAGTTGCTCCACTCTCCTCCTAAAAAGTTGCACTAGCCAAATAAGGGAAAGGGAGGGAAGCTTCCCTCCCCTCCCCGATGAAAATCCAATACCAAACATAGTGTAAGTGTCATTCATGTTTCTTGCTTTCTCCCATTTTATAGCAAATTTTCCCATTAAAGTTCTGCATTTTTAAGGCATGTGATAAAGTTCCTCTCAAAGCATTTCCACCTTCTCCCACTAGATAAAGTGTTCATTGCCATCACCTTCCACATTTCTAAAAGCTTCCATGGCTATTGAATTTGGACCAAAATAAAATTAAAATGTGATTGAAACAGTCCCATGCAAATGCACATCACAGAAAAATCCAAAACAAATCGGGCATTTCGAAAACTATGAATAAAATATTAAACGTGAAAGTTGGTAAAATAAAAAAATCATCAGTTTTTATATATGTGACATATTGGTGGGGATTTTTCTTTGTTATCATAATAATGATATGATAATTGATGAGCAGAGGGACCCACCTATTCCTTTGGTGGGGAGCAGCTTTGAATTTAATCCTTGATTATTATTACTATTTTTTTAATTTTTAATGCCATATATTACGTTTACATCAATATCAATTGTCTCCATTATTTATGGAACTTG